ACCCAAGGCTTGAAGATTACAAGTCAAGTGCTTAAACCACTGAGCTACCGACGCTCTTAGCTAGTATTTATAAATTATAACACGGCTAACGCCGACGGGTCCGAAACTGGACGATGCCTACATCGAAGGTTATCACGTAAGTTTAGCCGTGTTATAATTTTTATAATTTTGCATGATTGTGAAGTGTAAAATAAAGAAGAAAAAAAAACATAATTCTCTCCAACATTTATTGGTCGAAAAATAAATTAAAACTTTGGATTTCAACAAAGGACCGAAATCGTAAAAATAAATACCTACGGGGTCTACACTTAAGTTAACAACATATTTACAATAATCCTTACGAAGTTCGCTTAATAGGTACAATCATTTACTTTTCGAATCCAACCCCTTCCAAACTCTATTTTTACAGATCATTCTCTTATTACAATTTCATTTTACCGACAATTTTCGATTCACTGTTCATCCCATTTCAAGTAAGGCAGAGACTTAAAAATATTACCACTTAGAAATGTAACAGAATATTAAATTTAAAGTACAAGACTTAAGTCACCACTGATAGAGGCTGAGATAGCTTTAAACGTCACTGTCAGATAAGGGAACAAAATCGTATATTTCCATCACATATTTTGCACGTTGAATTGTTAGTAGATAATTTACAATTTGGTGGGACAGGCCTTGAAACTGATATTCAATAGATTGATTTACAATTCAACTATCAAATTGGCCTGCAGTATTATAATTTTAGAACACGAATCATACAAGAACATATTACAACTCTCCCAATACCATTTAGGTTACAACATAAACAATGAATTAATTACTGTATTTCGACTGCGTAGTTGTGACTCAGAACATAGTACTCACATCAATGATTCAATTTAAATACACATTTATTAATAATATTAATATTATTTATTTAAAAAACATTCTTATATCAATTGGCAGTGTTAACTCTTTAGTTTTTACTAAAATTTGCATCAAAAAATCGCTCAAATAAGGTGTTAAAAACTGACAATGACAATGTTAAATTACAAATATTGGTAAGGTTTTCTATAACTTTTTTGTATATGTTGTCCCTTTTATTTATTACAAAAATCGCAATATTACAAATATTTAGAGCGGGTACTCCTTTGACTAAACTATCGCACAATTGTGCGATTGTCGATTGTTTCTTAGCAAATTCTGTTTAGTTGTGTAAACATTAAGTAGTGTACCTTCATAAGCTCATAGGAATCAAAGCGAGACTAAACAGTCGTGCGATAGTTTTGTCAAAGTTGTGTGCGCTTTAATACATAGGAATTGCATTGTAATAATCTTAGTTGCGTTGTAGATAGATTGGTAAGTCTCTGCCCTTACTGTGATCCAAAACATTATACCAAAACAATTTTATTTATTATGGCCGCTTTTTTATATTTAATAGCAATAATATAATAGATACAGCTGCAAAAAATATACGTATCGTAACTAAACGGCGGATACACCGTTCCTACAACCTATTAAGTATGATTTAACCATTTTTTTTTCATAATAACCAACAATCGTTTTTTAGGAATAGTGAGGATTCTGAATGATTTCTCTTTTTTAATAGGAAAGCACAAACGGTCGACTTCAGTAATGTCATATAAATAACACTTATTTGTAAATATTCTTAAGCTTCATTACGAAAAATAATTAAGTACAGTAGTAATTTTAGTCGCTTCAGGAATATGTAAACAGTAAACATGATGCCATTGAGATTTTGTTGTCAATATATTAAAACTCATCTGATTTCTTTAGGTGATTCGGCAGTACTCAATGTGTTGAGGAAATATTTTATTAAATTAATTTAGGTTAAGCTATAGCACCAACGTGGAAATTCTAAAATATAATTTAAAAATTTTTTGAAAAAAAAAAACATTTTCAAAAAAAAAAATCAATATAAGAGTCAAAGAAACTTCTATAAAATTAAGCAATTTGTTCAAACACATCCAGTTTTTTTACAAAATGTGTGATAGTTATTTTAACAAAAATACATTTGACATCAAACTGAATTAAAAAAAAAAACATAGTAATATTTCTAGGATAGTTTACTTTTATGACGTTACTGATATCGATCCATTTAAATTTTTATAACTATGCCATAATTAAAAAAAATACGACACATATCATAACTTACATATTTATCAATTAATTTTTTATTCCCCGACTAGAGACTAAATTGTCAAAATATTCACAAAAGACGTTTAAAAGTAATGTTTAATCCAATTCGTTAGCAAAAAATAAAAAAAACCACTACACAGACTTAGTTTTATCTTAACTGTCAGATAAATCTAACGTGTGTTGGTAAAACTGAGAACTGCACAGTTCCTATTTTTGATAGATTTATCTGAATAATTGGACAGTTCAAATGAAACTGATCATTTGTAGCGGTCTTTAAAGTATAAATAACAAATTGTACTTATCCAACTTTAAAGGACAGATTACAAAATCATTTTTTCACAATTTACAATAAAGATTTTCGATTTCATAATCTCATTTCAAATTAGTTTCTAGTCGAAAAATAGTCCAAACATTAATATATAAAATTATGCTTTTTTCATCATTAAAACTAGCGGACTGATTTTCTTTCGAGATTCAAAAATGAGGTCATTTTTTAAAAAATAGGCAATTAATTATTCTAAGTACACAGCACAACTAACCGAAAACTAATGAGATAGAATACTAAGAAAAAATTATTTCATGTGATTGAGTTTCATATTATATTGTATTATTATTACTACAAGTTAATAATAATAACACTGTTTCCGTTCCTCCCTTCACTATTTTTATGTTACAAAAACGACGCACGAAATTAGAAACCGGTAGCCATGTTTGTAAGCCATAGACAAAAAATGATACCGACAAATACACAGTATGTATACGTGAGTCTACTGTCATAACACTAGGATCACAATGTTGCTATCCCACTCGTTCTCTTTCAAACAAATGAGATAACAGTACTGATAAAACTAACAGTCGAATGTCTAACAAAAGTTGTATAGAAATAATCGCAACGGAACGTCAAAAAAGCACCACAGATAATAAAAATTAAACGTGAACGCAGATTGAAAATAACACACATTCCAATTCTGTCCCTTTTAGTAAATATGAAGTCATCAATTAATCTCTGGCGTGGATACTTTGATGTCACATCTAACTATACACGAGCCATTTCTTAGTGAACACGAAAACTGTGTTACATAAATCTCGGGAAAATGTCATTTGGGACACGCCTTTACGAGTTACGCGAATAGGTGTGCAGTTTATTTCAGCTGATTAAAGTTAATTCCATTAATAAAATGACAGAATCCATTTAGATCGTACAATAATTTTACACAATTTGTCTAAACATCATAAAGTTTTTAAGCAACTACCGACATTAGTAGGACATTTTGAACGGAACAATTCTGTCGTAAACTATAAAGATTAGAAAAGCTATTTCATCTTCTATCCGTAACGAGGAATGCTGATAAAATAAATTCTATCAGCGAGGTTGAAATTTTAGCATATACAGTACACAGTTACAGAACCTTGTAAAGTTAAAGTCCAAGGGAAACACAAAATATTTTAAGTTACCGAGGTTTGAGTTATCGAGATTCTACTGTAATTTTAATGCAAATCAGAAAAAGATAACTAAAACCGCATCATTAGAATCTGATAAAAATATACGAACTTAAATACGCTTGTATATTTAACCTTTAAGATAGATTTGTTTATCTGGATTAACCAATGCCTCGAAACACGCAGTAAAGAAACATGTCCCTGAATTTATCACGGCCAGGTTAGGCTGATTATCCCTTCACAATCCCTTCGCGGCAGTAATCTCAAAATAGCCAAAAGACAACTTTAAACAACGCCCGTACCAAGAAACGCTTAAGCAGACATTCAAACTGTTTAGTTTATGTAAAAATAGAAGCACTCACTATACCTTCGGAACTTAATAGGTGATAAAACAAAATGATTTATTTTGTAAATCACATTGTTTGGAAAACAATGCATTAACACTTTTGTTACTGACTTACAGGTTTAAAAGCAATCAGTACTTTATATGAGTATTCAAATGGGCTGAATATACCTGATGCTCTTAGAAGAAAGGAGCAGGTAAACGAAAATATGCTTTCAAAATTTAAGAAACGCAATATTACCTGAATAAAGAACCCTTTTGTTAGAAAAATTAAGAATATAGATTATAGATGCTTTAGGCATTGTTATTTTTGACAGAAACAATTTTTTGAGTGTTTATTTTTTAAGATATGACACCAAAGTCTGGAAATGCATTGTTTCTATCTAAATATTTGTAGCGTCAGTAAATTAATCTTTGATCATGATTATTAAATTATTTATTTCGGCATCCAATTTCTTTTTTAATTTATGATAACGGTTTCTTTTGACATCAACAAAATATGTTTTACAATGTAACATCGTTTATGAAACAAAATTTATGACCGTCATCTGTATTTCAAAGGAAGAGCGTACAATTATTGAAGTACATTTTTTTTCTTCAAACATTTCATAGTTGATTCAGAGTGAGGCAGTATCTTGTTCATTAGATCCTCTCAGCTCTCTATTATACTCCTCATAGAAGACAGAGAAAGCAATAGCCATGTCATTTAGAGGGAAATTATTAGGTCTTCAAATAATCAAAATTCTATCACCAAAAATTATGCTATGGTTACAATTGTTGGTAGGTTATGACACAATGTACATACCAACTCTAGTTTAATGATTCTTGTAGCACAAAATCTATAAAATGATCCAGTTCCTCGAGTTACATTGTTTTAAAAATTGTCCGTACATTTTCTTATTCTTCATGTTTCAATTGAAACTTGCGCATTTAGCTACCTTGAATCAGTTACGAATTCATTAGCATTAATTCCCCTTCGACTCGAGAAGCATAATTTTTTCCTTTAGTTTTATTTTAGAGTAGAATCTTTCCTTTCTTCCCAGGGAATAAATTTACATAGGTTAGTACCGAAACTGAAGTCCTTTAAACTCAGAACTTTTTGCTTCGTAACGGATGCCTTTGTTACTTGAACCAGTTAAATATTTATAATATAGAGTAAATGTGCTGAGAAGTACGGTACAAGATGAATAAGTATAGCACTAATAAATTCAGAGAAAGATTATCTTTTGCGAAACTAGAATTCGATTATCCAAAAGATACAAATTATTTTTCACTAATAACTCAGTATTTGTTTAGTTTTAAGCATTGTTTTTTAGATTTGTTTATCTTCGTTTTTGTTTTCGGAATAGAATTCGTTTTAAGAATGGATAAGTGAAAAATGGAAATCATTTCATTCAGTCACAATATTTTTAAAAACAGACGATTGCTTTTCAGTAGTATGTTCTGATACAATACAATATGAAACTCAATCATTCGATTCTTAAGTACTATTTAAAATTATATTCCTGTCACTAAATGCGTATGTCTAACTGAAAACCGGTCTATTTCAACTACTATTCAACTATTTGACTATTTCATTACAATGTGCAAGTTCATTCTTAAAACACATTCAGCAAACGGCACTCCAGCCAACTGTGCTTATAATGTCTTTTTCAAAGACGATGGAAAATATTTCTATGAATTCATTACAAAATTCATTAACATCCAAACCCCTGATGGTACTGGGATTTTTAACGTAACAACACTCAATATAGAAACCATCAGATTTCTATATCGCAAGTATTCGGTCCATCCAAACCTCAAGCAATTCAATAATTATTCTCTCTTAAATAATATTCGTGATTGTGAATAGGCCCTTAAATACTGCATTATAAAATTATAAGAACAAGCGTATTCGCGAAAATCAGTCGAGAAAAGAAATAATATTGAAAAAAATGCTTTTACATTAAATACAATTAGTTTCATATCACATAATGAAAGCATAAAGAGAAAAATTACCACCTAAATAAAACCAAAATCACAGTATTTTCTGGACAAGATTCTTAACTTGTCCGAGCATTTTTTTTTTCGTATAAATAAATTCTAAATATACGTCGCATGAAAAATAATAAAAAAAAACTGTCTTTTGAACTAAATTAAGATCTAACTAATTCTCATCAACTATATAAGACTTCTCCTATAATATCTGTATTTTGCATACTAATTCTTAGTCAAATATCCTTCATTGCATTAGTGAAAATATAAAAATTGTTTAATTCCTAATGGTTTAAGAAATCTATATTACCATTACACATGTTAACATTTTTATATATACGTTCGCAGGTTGCGTTTCTACGAATCGATCTTCAAGTGTATAATATATTAGTTCGATTATTCAGTAGGCCCAATATACTTTAATTACAATAGTAAAAATTAGGCTCTCGACTTAGGTTCCTTAAGGACTAAAGTCATTGGAACTTTATAGAAATACCTAGGAATTTTGCACAAATCTACAAAGTCACTGCACTTAACGGACATCGACCCCCGACACCAAACCACAGCTCCTGCTCTCACAGCACTAAGTACTAAAAGAAAATCCTTTTACACACAATAACAGATCACAAGAACGTCACTAGACCCGTCACTAACCTACAGTTCACCACATAGTTTTCAGCACTATCTTAAACTGATTTACGTGAAGACTAAAGTGTCCGGGCGCAAGTGGAGCGATTGTAGAGTTTGTGTACTGTGAGCTGAGCAGGGCTTCGCCAGCAGGTCGGGACGCGGGGGCCGCGCCGCCTTGGCGCACATTCACCGAGCCAGGGGCGCTAAAACCGCGCTCGCTGCGAGGGCGAGGGCGAGCGACGAAGCCAACGCTGCGCCGCGCGAATATGAAAGCTCCTCGCTCTTCACCACTTCGTTAGGTGTCTTATCGTACTTGTGCGTCTTTTTAGTGACCGGTTTGACGGTCGTGGTTGTAGTGGTCGTTGGCGGGGCTGTCGGGGGCGGTGGCGGAGGAGGCAGGGTAGGCTGCGGCGGCGGCACGGGCGACTGCTCCTCCGGCTTACAGCACACACGAAACACTAGCTTCATGTTATGACTTAGACATCGGCCGCCGATTCTTCTGTGTAAATCATCTTTACTGGATGTTGATATAAAATAATAATCCTTCCCCGGTAGAAATTCTAAACCGCCGGGTTGCGGTGTGAATGGCCGGAAGGTGATGGTGAAAAACATCAACTTGTTCGGCTTATCGCATATTGCTATAATCCGTGGATTTGGATTCGTTATTCGACACGAATCATATTCTTCTTTACTTACATTATATATTATATACTTTTCCATGTCTTCTTCGAATGTATCCGGTGCGTAAACAGGACATATTATGTTTACTTGGTCGTATTCAAACTGTGCATTTCCTTTATTTAGATCGAATACGTGATCGGTATTGTCTATTCTGAATATACTGTTTGTTGTGTTCCAATGTATATAGAAAGATTTTGCGTAATTCCCCATCACGCTTTCGACGAAAAAGATGAGGACGAGCAGTGTCCACGGAGCTTGCCGAAGCCCGAAGTAGCCGTACGATACCATTCTTACTGTTTATCGTTCACCAACTCTCATTATCCGACGCAAACTCTATCCCTCCTGGGTAGCGTTTTAAGCATTCGCATACCAATCCATATTTATAGACACAAAATTCACAATTTCACACTAAAAAATATAGGAATTTAACACAGAAAACACGAACAATCCGTACGCATTCAACATCGCACCGTAAAGTCCACCATGTTCGGTCCACACACTAGATTCTATTCATCGATAAATGTGGAATTCCATAGGACGTGGCCCGCAGTAAAACGCTAGAGAAGCTCACTTAAACAACGCACACCGTGTCCAAATCGAGTCCAATTTAGTTCGCCGACGGTTTTTGTGTTGGTAAAATGTTGGAATTAATCAATACATCACAGATTTTTTACAATACTGAAGCGTTCTTTGTGGTAAGAGCGGGCGTCGCAAACAGCCGGAATACACGTAACGCCGCGCGGCGGTCGGCCAAACTACTGGAATGCAGCTCAGCCCTCAGTACGCATGCGGCTGGTCCCCGCCCCTCCGGACGCCTCACACCCTTCGCCCGTTACCGTCGCGTTCGAACGACTCGAACTTTTAGCGTGACGCCATTTTGAAAGACCGAAACCTTAAATATTGCTACAATGCTTGACTTACACTATCATTAAATTAATATACCTTTAATAATAAATAAAAATAATTGTATTTTAACATTACGATATTGTAAAACATATTAACTAAATATTTTTTCAAGTAAAAATCCATAGATACTAGCTTATTCTGTACGAACGCATCCATTGGGTCTTACAAAATAACGTACACCACAGACTAAGCTTACAAAAAGCTCGGAGTAGAAGCTTTTATGCACGATATTAAGTACGCAGCTGATTAAATTATGATAATTGCTCCATCTTAACAGAAAATTTTGTTTAATATGTAACAGTTTAGTTTATAAGCGTCAGTAATGAGGTGTGATAATGTATACAATTATATTCTAACGAATTTTTTATAATCTCTTGAGCAAAGCGCTTTAAAAAGGTTACCAGGAGCTTGGTTTATACAGACAGTTCTTTTTTCTTACCTCTTTCATATACGGAATAAAAATAAATACATTTATTAGGATACAAATGATATAAGCAAACTTCGATCAAACATATCAAGGAACGGTACTCAAATGATATCTAACAGTTTAAAGTCAAATTTAAACTATAGTTTGTCTATAGTGTGTCTAAATAAGTTAGATTAGTTTGACAATTCACTTCAAATTTAGTAGGGATGGGTTGTGTAAAATCAGTCTTGAATCTTATCGATTTTCGATTCTTATTCTTATAGAAGTTGGAATCGATAGATTTATAGTTATAACTTATGAATTGAAAAAAACACTGTTTTCTCAAATTAATAATGACCATGACAAATAATGAGAGTAAATAAATGTTTATTACTATTACAGCCGTACGTAATCGAATTGGATTTCGCTATTATTTCTGTTCTCTACACTATAATCAATACTAGAATTGTCCTATAAATTAGTTAATAAGAAAATAATAATTTTATTTGAGTTCGATGATTATTTAAACAGAATATCGATAGTTCATAACTGTTCGCTATGCGTGTTTGTTTCGTCACTATGATACCTATATATTAAGTATGGCATTTACCCTCATACAAATTGAATTCGATACTTCATATGCGTTATTTATCAAACTAATCTAATTTATTTAGACAAACTATAAATAATGGGGATTAGTTTGACAATTCATTTTGACAATTAAGTAGGGATGGGTTGGGTAAAATTAGGTATTAGATTTTCGATTTTTAATGCCATATATGTTGGAATCGATAGATTCACAATTTAACCTTATAGATCAAAATATAAAAAAAAAACACTGTTTATTACGTTTGTTCATTCAAAGTCGAATCCAATAATGACAAATACACAACAAATACACAGAGTAACAATCGATTACTAGACATTTACCGCTAACACAATCTAACAGGGTTTTGTTAATATTATTGTCTTTGCTGTCTACATTCACGACTATTACTGTCCCTTAATTTAAATAAATTATTATTATTAATTAATAGGTAAATAGTAATTTTAGTTTGATGTTTTTTTTTTTTCAATCGAATATTGACAGTTAATTATTGTTCGATATGCGCTTTATTCCGTTATTATGTTAACCGTCTATTGACTACGGTATTTACCTTCATATACTATCACACTAATATTATAAATGCGAAAGTTTAGATGGATGGATGTTTGTTAGAGTTTGTAGCCTAAACAGCTGAACGGATTTTGATGAAATTTGGTATAGATGTTGAGGACAGTCTGGAAGAACACATAGGCTACTTTTTTTTTTTTAATTTCACGCGGACGGAGTCGCGGGGGAAAGTATTCGATATTTTATATGCGTCATTAATCAAACTAATCAACTTTAATTAGATAAATTATAAAGTAACAGTAACAGTAACAGATATGCAAAAATAACCAGCTATTTTAACGCGTTCGCAGTATTGATACACGCGCTTCTGATGATTAACAGGTCACATCACAATTTCATCTCATTACGAAACAAATACGGGCTAATTAACGTTATCTCTTTGCGGTGTTGCCGCTAATTACAGTTATCAGTGATTTCTTGGAAGCTACCCTCGTGAGGATCTACCATTCAATTAAAAATCTCAAATAAATAGTCATACAGAAAAAAATTAAGTGATTGAAAAATTGTAATCAGAAAAAACTGTTGACATTCCTTATAATAACATTTCACTATTAAAGCAATTTGAAAAAGGATTTTTTAACTAAAACATCCATATTCAAAAACATTTACAGAGAAAATGACTTTAATGTCTTACTTGCTCTAGTTTATTACATATTTTTTTATCGTCCGAATTTGCATTCAGATCTGTTTCAAAATATGTCCACGTATTTAAGTAATTTTATTGCCTATCCATTATTGTGTTCAAGAGAAATTAATTAAAAAAGCAACAAATATAACTTAACCCCTGACTTTGTAATTCATAGAATGACGAAGTTTTAATGAAAATTTCTAAATAGGTCATCAGTTTCTGGTCATGAAGCAAGTCCGCTCCGTTTGTGACGTCACTAATGCCTAACAAATCCTATTACTGCAGGAACTCCAAATTGACATCGCAGTAGAGCTGAAGGGAAATTAAATATTTAGATTCATTTGTTTCTTTAGAATTACAAAGAAATATCTAAAGTTTTTTATAAAATAAAAAGATTAACATCAAAGTTTTCTTTACACTCCCGCTTTGGGATTTATTTGTAAGAGCATGCGCACACATGAAACTAAACTATAGCACAACTGTTTAGTCTCGCTTTGATTCCTATGAGATTATATGGAGGTGGGCACACTACTCCATTTTTAGTTGTGCAACTAAACAGTTGAATTGCCTGCAAAACAATCGACAATCGCACAAAGTTGTTCGATATAGGCCTGACGCGGTACTTAAGTTGGTGCGAACGAAGAAAACTATGTCCCTATCGTTAGTGAAAGATTATCTCAGGTGTATACATTACATAAAATGTATCTGTATCCACAAAGTTATACCAATTTAATCTATCCTAGTGCTGGTAGGTCTAGAAGGACCTGCCACGCACTGGCGGAAATATCATTGGGGGCGCATTTCAGCCCGCCGCCGCACCAGATGAAGAATTATGATTTTACTTGCCGCAGTAAACGTGTTTATCCAATTTGACATGTCAATCAAAATACCGTTTTTGTTCCCTTTGTAATTAACTGTAGATAATAATTGATTATTGTTAATGGAACGGACGCTTTGGCTAGACAATAGATAAACTAACGAATAACACAAATATTCGTCATTTTGTACATGTTTATTGTAACAGACTAGCTGTTCCCGTGCGGCTTCATCCGCATAAAATTTTAATTTATTGTTTACAAGTGTCAAATTATCAATTGCAAATGTCAAAATGACATGACTATGACAAACCATGGCAACTTTGCTTCCTTGATGTTGGCAGCAACTTATGATCTCTTTTCCACATTAGGGTTTTAATTCGAAATAGTTACCCCCTAAGTTTTATGGCATGAAAATATATAGTCTAAAACGTGACGTAAGTGTAGGGCTTTTTATTAAAAAAAGAATTATTCAAAAACATGCTGTAATTGCTGACATCTCAGGCAACAAAGAAGTGTGTGTTTACGCTTTATTAAAATAGTATAGATAAACTACCGACAGACGTGTCAGTTTATCTATATAAGTCAACATCTACATGTCTAACATAACATGTTTATGTACGAATTTTTTCTTTCATTTTATTTTTACTCATGTGTATGTGATAATTTATACCTATCCACTGCTACTACTGACGTGTGGATGATCCCAAGGGTTCTCGCGGAAGATCAGCGCTGGTACTTCAATAGGAGCATCCAGCATTTATAGCTGAGCGAAGGTCCAATCCGGTCAGCATTGCAACGCTAATTTTAAATATTCTTTTTTCTTTTTTTTTTTCATTTCATTAGTTATGTTTCTCATTTTTTGTGTTTAATATTTTTTTGTTCATAATTGTAGTGTTGACAAAGGATTAAACATCATTTTATTTTTATTTTTATTTATTTTTATAACAAAATAAAGAACCAAAACAGTGATGTCTAAACTTCGGTGCTGACCTTTGACTAAACTATCGCACAACTGTTTAGTTAGTTGATTCCCAGTAGCTATTACTTAAATAAAATATGCCTTTAATAAGTGGACCTCCCATTTTAATAGCGTACTAGCTGTTCCCGTGCGATTTTATCAGCATAAAAATATTTTATTGTTTACATGTGTCAAATTGTCAATTTCAAATGTCAAAATGACATGACATGACAAAACTTGTCAATCTTGCTTCCTTGATGTTGGTAGCAACTTATGGTCTCTTTCCCACTTTGGGGTTTTTATTCAAAATAGTTACCCCCTAAGTTTTATGCCGTGAAAATATACAGCCTAAAGCGTGACGCTAGGTAGGGCTTTTTATTAAATAAATAATTATTTAAAAATATTCTGTAATTGCTGACATCTAAGGCAACAAAGAAGTGTGTGTTTACGCTTTATTATAATAGTATAGAAGTGTAGATAACTTCTATCAACGTAAAAAGTATATAATATTTTTATTCCTTTTCAATATAATTCAGGACGTAATGATCCTGGAGTTTGGAGTCGCTGTAATTTGCGCAGAATTGAGACTTGGCAGCCGCGCCGCATATTTTGACATCAAATTAATCGAAAAAACGTTTAAAGGAATGGTTTCATTGATGTAGCCAACACTACTGCGGTTGACAACCTTAAATGACTTACGATATCCTATATAATACTGTTAGAAAATAACAATTTAATTCGAACCTGTACTTAATTTTTAATTCTTATTCAGATTTATTTATATCGTTCTTCTAAATCAATCTATACTAATATTATAAAAAGGAAACATTTGTATTTTTGTAAATGGAATAACTCAAAAACTACTGGGCCGATTTCTATAATTC